ATATATTTTGATTAGCAAGTCATCGATACTGAGTCTAAGATAGAAAATATATTGAAAATCATTTTGTTGATTAAGTAACTACTCTTAGGTTTGTTTTCATTAAAATTTCAGACGAATTCTATTTGGTTTAAATAAGTCTAGTGTATGCGAAGGCGCTAAATAAAATAAAAATTCCTTTATATTCTAGACCTAGCAACCTTTTGTATGCCGCGAACAGTTGTAACGATTAAATCTTGACATGCTTGTGTTGTCAATGGAAATGAATTGATCTGGAAAGTGATCGAAATGGTTGCAGTAGTAGTGGGTTAAAGTTGTGGTAGAAGATCAGAGTACAAACACAAAGACAGACATTGCGACACAAGGAAAATTGTTATCTAAGAAGTAATGAGGGTAATGTGTACGTGTACAAGTGCTTGTAGTTGTAGTTCTACATGCGGTTACTGGTCTGAATGTGTACATGTTGTTATGGGTGTATGTGTCAAGGCAGTTAAATAAAGCCTCCACACTACTGCACGGGTTGGGGGGAGGGACATTTTTTCTCCGGGGAGGGATGGGGTTACTTAAAATTTTTAGGGGGCCGTACTTTTCCCAGAAACCATGAATATATATATATATATATATATATATATATATATATATATATATATATATATATATATATATATATATATATATATATGTGTGTGTGTGTGTGTGTATTGAATATATACATATACGTATACATACAGCTATATGTATATATGATTATATATATATGCTATATAATATATATATACGATATATATATATATATATATATATATATATATATATATATATATATATATATATATATATATATAAATATATATATATATATAAATATATATATATATATATATATATATATATATATATATATATATATATATATATATATATATAAACGCTATATATATATATATATAAACGCTATATATATATACATATAGCGTAGATACATATAGCATGTTAATGAAACAAATAGAGTGGCCTTCTCTAAAGAATGTCAATACAGCAAGGCAAAGAACCCCAGGGGCGATAACTCCACGACTACGTGACGCCAACCAATGTATAATCGATACTTGTCGTATAGCTTTTGTCGTCAGTATATCCCCAGCTTATCATTGTAATCCTATAGATCGGCTAAATGTCTCATCGCCTATCGGGAACATTTATTTAAAACTGCCATAATAAATCGTTGTATTGTTTGGTTTAGCCCGAAAGGAGGTTCTGTGAAAACGAGTGTACAGATTTGGAAAATATTTGCCCCCCCCCTCCTTTCCCCCTGCCCGATTTCATTACCCTAAACACCTGCCTTTTACATAGTTACTTATTAATATATTAAAAATTAAATCCAAAATTAACTATAGAATTATATAAAATATTATAAAACAATGATAGGGGAAGTAACTAGGCTGAATGATGTACTCGAATCCTCACTTTGGTAAGCAACAAAACAAAGTTTAGACTAGGTTCACACCATATTGTTCTTTTAAAAATAGCATACAAATGTCACGAGTATAGCCAGTTATGACGTAGACACTTCTTGTGTGACTATGGTGACGTCATCCTGGTACAAAGACGTGTTGGTAACGACGACTTGGACTACGTCATTGTTGGTCCGTTATTTCTTGCCACTAATGAATGAGAAGACCATAATCAGCCTCCTCCAATCAATAACCAGTAGCTAGTACTTGATCTGTGGTCCTATAGTGTATAACGGATGAGCGATCGAAGGCCCTCCATCTAATTTGTTTTTTGCTTGTCCAAATGAGGACAAAGAATTCGTTAGAATGGAACTCAAATGAATTCACAATGACGCAGTGATCAATCTAAACATTTCTTAAAAGTATCATTGGGCCACTTTCACTATCTGCGTATCTTGGGCCATTGCCACAGTCTTCATATCTAAGGCCATAATGCCATAATAAAAGTCTTCACATTTCGGGCCAACAGCGGGGTTGCTTTTTTTTTTTAATAACTTAGAGCCATTATTAGTCATAGTACTTATTATCACAGTCTTCATATCTAAGGCCATAATAACAGTCTTCATATTTTAGGTCACTATCGGAGTCTTTGTTTTAATTTAGGGTCATTATAAGCTTAGTACTTTAGGCCATTATCACAGTCTTTATATATTAGGCTATGATCGCAGTCATCACATCCAATATCATATTGTCTTCAAAACATAGGCCTTTGGGTAATTAATTTATCATAACTACATTTCCCACAGCATGTATCAAACATACTTTTCTAAATCTAGGTATGCCGCCCTGCATCTTTTCTTTTCGATATGCATGGCATCTGTCCGATGACTTTGTTCGATATCTGTCCGGAAGTGGGTTTTATTATATTTGTCCGAAAGATGAGGGGGGGGGGTGCAAATGAAAAGTTCGAGGGGGGGGGGTGCAAATCGTTTGTCTCCGGGTCACTACGCCTCTGGGGCTATGGTTCTTTATAACATGGGGGTATTCGGTTCAGATGGCCTGTGGTATCTGGTTCCTCTAAATGTATCAGGTACTGTGATTATGGGGGTATCCGCTTCTGTAAAAACTGAGGGTATTCGGTTCTGTGAATCTGGGGTATCTGGTTCTATGATTCTGGATGTATCAGGTTCCATATGGGTATTCGGCTCTGTATAGCATGGGGTATCAGGTTCCATATGGGTATTCGGCTCTGTATAGCATGGGGTATCAGGTTCCATATGGGTATTCGGCTCTGTATAGCATGGGGTATCAGGTTCCATATGGGTATTCGGCTCTGTATAGCATGGGGTATCAGGTTCCATATGGGTATTCGGCTCTGTATAGCATGGGGTGTCAGGTTTTGAATGGCGGGGGATATCCGGTTCTGTGAGGCTTGGGGAATATACTGAGTGCGACGAAATAAACAGGCAACACTTTTTTCTTCATGGTCTATTTAGATCATCCTATCTGATTTACATTTTCATTTCACAAACATTACAAATATAATTGGTGCAAATCCTAACTACCAACACCACAAATATAAATGGTGTAAAGCCTAGCCCCCAACATTACAAATATAAATGATGTAAAGCGTAACCTCCAACATTACAAGTATAAATGGCATACAACATGCCCATAACAGAACTCTAACCAGCATCACCAAAACTGGATAACCTCCATAAATCCCCACTAACACCACTTAAACCTAACCTGTTACCTGGCTTAACCACCTACTGGTTAGACGGTTATATCCTGTGCACCACCTTCCCCATCCCTCAACACAGAGATAGAAAACCACTATAAAAGTCAGGCTCTCAAATAAATCAAAGGCAGGGAAGTTACACTTAGCTGTGCCTAGTGAAATCAATTCATTTTATTTCTGTGTTGTTTCTTTTGTAGTTCTCCAACGTCTAATATTAGAAGATTCATATACATATACACATATATTCTAATGCAAATATATATATATATATATATATATATATATATATATATATATATATGTGTGTGTGTGAGTGGGTGTTGTGAAATATGTGTTGTGCATGTGCGTGCATACATTGTTCACTTGTGTGTTGTGGTGTGTGTTCATGCATAAAAACCCTATCACAGGTCTATCTGAAAGATTTTCATATCAAGTTAATCCCTGACAACAAAACTTAGATCTATGTCCAAATCATCACTGAACAAATATAATGCAACAACTTTTACATCATAGTTTAATTGCTTTTATTGTGTGGAACATTTTTGTTTTTGAATTGTATTTCTAACTTCCTATAGTGTGAAATATATTCCATTCACAAAAATAAAATGTAACATAGTCTCTCCTACTTTGGAGTCAGGAGAATTTAAAATATACAAATTCAGCAGCCAGATAAAATTTAAGACATGTGTCCTTATAAATTCTTTGGATATTACAGAGTCAAAACTTTACTAGCAATAGCTCTTACTCCAAGCCAAAAATTGAACATAAACACCTTCTGACAAGAGACGGTTATTAGTGTTAAAGGTGCTAGACCTTCATTGAAATATAAGGAGTAAAATAGTTTTACTATCATTTACAAAAATAAAATGGACATTATATTCCAGCTGTTTGACAAAGGTTAATTAGCTTAATTAGCTTTAAAATCAGATTGATCCATCTGGACCTATTTGTGGATCATTAACAACATTGAAACAGATAAAGTTGTGCCCTTACATTTGTCAACCCACGCTCAAATATTTCTCTCACAAAAAAAAAAAAAGTTCAATTTTTTAAAGCACAAGCAGATCAAATGTGAATATAAAAACACAACCTTAAAAAATATATGAATCAATTTTTTTTAACAAGACAGTCAAAATGAAATAAAAACCTTTGCAAACCTTTCACACTGAAAGTAGTCAGAAAATACAATCATTTTAATTTTGAAGCAACATTCGTATAAACAAGCCTAAAAGCTCTTTTGTCTAAACAAAAACTGATACACTTGTATTTTTATCCTTTTGAGAGAGAGAGTAACAGAAGGTTTTAAGTTCAACCAGCTCTGATTGGTATTTTACTCATGTTGGCTAAAACAAAGGCAGGGAGCTGAGAATAGTGCTGACCACACTCTCCTTTTTATGTGCAGAGGTCACAGAAACTGGTCAACTCTACTTCATCTGTCCCACTGACCACTAAATCCTATAAGGTATCCTTACTATTTCTTCCAAGATGTACTATTATGACATCCCAAAAAAGAAGAGAAATTCTTTAAAGGCATGTCCTTGAGTAGTAGAGACATACAAAAATAATTGAAACCACATCATCAACCAGTATACCAGAAGCAAACAACATTCGATCAACTGGTACAGCTAACACCAAGCCAAACAATGTACTCAATGTAGCACAACTACATCAATGTTCATGTTTACACTTTTAATTAGTGAGCATTGGACTTATATTTGTCTTAGAGAGATCTTGTAACACAGTCAGCCATTCAAACTGCCTGGTTTACAGAAAAACACATTGTCTACAGAACACAGAAATGATCACTTGATTGCTGAGTAAACTTAAGCAGTTTAGATAAGGGGAATAACTCTATAATCAAATACCAGTGAAATTGTGGCCCCTAATCAAGGTGATATACAATTTTTGTTAAAATGGTACATATCACAAGTGCATTAACAATTTTTCTGTTGCCTGAAACAATATTCTGTATTTAAAAAAAATTAATTCTTGCACTATGTAATACACTAAAAAAACACATTTACACACTAACCAGCACACAAGTAAAACAAACATGAATGAAGTACCATCATGTCCACCTCTGTTCTATCTACTTTTTAACCACTAATACAACAAATGTTGACACCACTTTGTTGCTCTACATATTTCTTCCCATCCTTTTAAAAAAAAAACATATGGACTTTATTTGTTAGACTACTGCTCATGTGTCCTGGCCATTACAATATTGTCATGTGATAAGGACATGACATAGCCTTTAAACTAATGTCCTATGCTTAAGACATTCCAATATTGTCCCACAAAGGACATGTCCTAGCCATTATAATAATGTCCTTCAACAGAATCATGTATGGGGGTACATTTGATATTTCACACTTCCTGATGATTTTAATAGTGGCTATTGGATGAACAAACTAGGATGAATCTTCCACAACAAAACTTAATGTTTAGTTGACATCACAGTGTTGACAGCCCTATAAAACCAAGGGCAGCACACACAGGAATGATTTTCTGACAAAATACATAAAACACACTTTTTTAAAGCTTAACAAAATACATAAAACCCTTTTTTAAAGCTTAACAAAATACATAAAACACATTTTTTAAAGCTTGACAAAATACATAAAACACATTTTTTTAAAGCTTAACAAAATACATAAAACACACTTTTTTTAAAGCTTAACAAAATACATAAAACACATTTTTTTAAAGCTTGACAAAATAAAATACATAAAACATTTTTTTTTAATTTGACCTAAACATTATAACTTTGAACAACCATAAAAAAAAACCAGAAATATTAAACTGCAATCACACAAAGAAAAAAAAATATTCATGGCTGGCAAATAATTTATTCACTGATTGGATCACATAGATATTTCTAAGAGAGAGGCAGTTTGATGGTAGGGTGGTATTGTTATTTTTATTTATCAAAGCCAGCTAGATACATCACGACCTTTTAATTAACAGCACAATTAATGTTACTGTAAAATTTGATTTTAATCAACATTTGGTATGAATTTATTTTTATATGTATTTTTTTTGTATGAATTTATTTTTATAAAAAAACAAACATCATACACAGTGGGTTTGTAACACATTGTCACAAGATATACTTTATACATAATAATTATTATAATTCATCTTTGTTAGGTGAATCTTTTCTTTGGAAATAAAACATAAAGGCTAATAGAATATGTGACCATAAAATATTTTTGTAAGTATTACAACATGAACTACAGTTTATTAGAAAAACATGTTATTTTTAAATAACGCTTAAAAACAATTATATTTAAAGCGTCAGTCCCCCTGACCAATCAGACACAACCAGACATTAGTTGATTGACATTATTTCTTGGTCCACATCAGGATACATGAAAAAATTTATTATTGCTGTAAAATTTTCAAAGAATATTAGCTTTCTTGAGGTATACTTAATGTCTAACAATGTACTAGTAAAAAGTAAAGTAATGTTCCCTTTTTGAACCTGATCGTCCATGGGGCAAGCGAAGTAGAGTTCACCTGTTTCTGTGACCTCATTATATGAAGGAATAGTGTGGTCTGCACTATGCCAAGCCACCTTTACTTTCCCTAACATAAGTTAGGTACTCATCAGAACTGGGTGGATTCTGGGATGTTCTACTGACTTGAACCCTGATCCAAACTAGAGATCTAGACTAGGCCTTCCGTTGTGTGGATGGATGGAAGAACCATACAAGATCTAAGAATTATTGCTTTCTTGAGAGACATTTTAATGGGCCTAGGATTTTAAGAACATTAGTCAGATTCAAAGAACCTTGCCCAACTGAATGTCATACTTTTGTGATTGAGGGCTTATTTGATTATGTGTGCTATTTTTATGATTTCAAGGTTAAAACATGAAAAGTGATATACTTGAGCCATTAAAATTTTAATCTTGTAAAATGTGCTTGGTGTATATAAAACATTAGGGGACAAGTAATTATGTTGTAAAGCTTAGTGTCAGTTTATTAAATGAAGCTAACCAAGCATATTAATCAAAACAATAAAAATAGTACTTTGGTCGTTAAAAAATAGTAAATTATATGATAATTAGACATAAGAGCAATTGGACAAAAATGAATAGTTAAGAAAATCTTCAACAAAGGTGTATGGCAATGGCCTCTCCCAATAATCTTTTAAAGATTCAAATTACATTTCATAACATACAGGCCCAATATTGATTTTCAAAACAAAATTGTATTGCAATAAATACTCAATAAAACAACACAGCAAATGTTAATGTTTAGCAGGACACCAACTCACAAGTTGGAGTCTTTTAAATTTTGTTAACTTGTTATTTTCAGTGTACTTTAGCAATCATCTTTAGAGCTTATATTCAGCCCATACATAACAACCTACATCAGTAACACATTGGTACTGAGATAACAACCTTATCTTATACTGTAGACCTTCTGATATCCAGGGACCCGAATATCCATACAAACATTTCCCAAAACAAGGTGAGCAGTTTGGATATGTATAAAAATACTTAGAATTATAAACATTTGGGAAGAAACTGGTGTTAATTCCTGTGGCTTTTAACTTTAAATTTCATCTTCTGAACATGCAACCAAGTGAATTAACTTGAAATATAAATAACAATAATACTGAATAATATTGATCTGAAACCATGGTGTGTACACCAACTTACATTGAAATGTTGGAACAGGAGAAAAGCAAGGACTGAGATTCAACAATGGTTTTGTTAAATTAGATAAAAAAAAACAAATGGAATGTTGAGCAGCATTAAAAAACGAGCATCAGCTAAGAATCATTATTCGTGTAATATGACCGTTGAGCTCGCACTGTTACCAATATCTTATCCCCATCATTGTTTATAATCATCCCAGTCAAGTTTTTCCCGTACACACAGCCCGTATCAAGACCTGTGGCAAAGGGCAGCTCCTGCAGGCCGCGCCTAGCATCGTGACCGTAGTACACATGTTCCGGGCCCACCCACAGCGTGCCCCACTGAACACCAACATCTGGTTTACTTTTGGCCACGTGAACCGGCCCCCACAACGTGTACTTTGATACCAGGTTCCTCATGTGGCATAGATCAATCAAACACTGCTGCTTCAATGGGATCCCAGGTACCATCCCAGCATGGACAATGATGGAATTTATTTTCGGAATGGTCAGGGAGTAGGGCAAGCTCTGCAGGTACGAGAAATCTTCCAGGGTTAAAGTACTCAGGTACGTATACTTAGCTGGGAGCACATAGTTGTCTATCTGTTGCATGTTACGATACTCTCTAAGCAGAGACTCTTCATGGTTACCTTTCACAGCCACGGCCTTGCCTTTAGCCACCAGCTGACGAATGTACGTTACAACCTCCTGGTTTTTGGGACCTTTGTTGAGCATATCCCCAACAAAGATAATAAACAGGTCTGTGGTGTTGATTCTGTTCATTGCTTGAGTGATGAGATCCTGAAGCTCATCAAAGCACCCATGAACATCTCCTATAATTAAAATGGGTCGGTCTCCAATGTCTTCATCAGTAATGACAATATGGCACTTTGATGGGGGCGTCAGGCCATATTTTGTTTTGACAGGGTATGGCTTGATGTGGATGTATATTTTCCTAATCAAAGATATGATGTTAAACAATACTGCAGCCATTTCCAACTCAACTCTGCAACAGATTAAAACTTCATTCAAATATTACTATTACAGGAATATCTAATTTTAAATTTTTTAACAATTTAAAGATGTAATGATTATTCTTTTAATAAATTAGGACTGTAAAAAAATAGATTAACATTATAAACAGACAGTGCCACTCTGGGTTATGGTGTAAAATAGCATACTGAAAAGAAAGATTTTTTTCATGAGTTATGTTAATCTTTATGGCTTTAAGCAAAAGCACAACAGTTACGCTAGTAGTTTTTGTTTTGTTTTTGTCTTTACAAAATTTATTTATATGCATTGGTCTTTTAAGGTAGTAGAAGTAACACTGTATGTGTATAAAGCTAATTCTGTTGACTCTTCCTGCTTCTAAAAACTGATGCTGAAACTTGTGTATCTTACTGTAAAACAGTTGATAGTTTGCAGTTTTAGATACATCCAGCTTACCATGAAATGATGCTGTATCTTACTGTAAAACAGTTGATAGTTTGTAGCTTTAGCTACATCTATCTTACCATGAAATGATGCTGTATCTTACTGTAAAACAGTTGATAGTTTGTAGTTTTAGCTACATCCGGCTTGCCATTTCTGCATAAAAGCCATAGTCCTATGGAAAGAAAAAATTAAACAATTAGCTTTTATTCCAAAACAGAATTAAGTATTAATGAAAATTTTTTAATCCAAGTTCTGGCTCAAACTAATTAAATGCTGAATTTTTTTCTCTGCTTCAGCCTTAGTAATAAAATAACAACCATTTTGATAGTATGGTGGGGTGGGATTAAAAATTTGAGAGAGAGATGGTCAGATTGTACAGCGTACAAATGCAAATCCAGAAAGTGTTGAAGTCTTGACTCACCTAATCACAGACTCTATAGTTTTTAAATAGATTTTTTGTTTTTTGTAAATTAGACCTAAGAATCTACATGGATTTTTTTTTACAAATTCTTTTATTAATCTGATCCTTTACTTTAAGCTATAGGCCAGATATAATCTAGATTATGTTTTTAAAAATTTACTGTGTTATTTTAAACAATTTTTTTGTAAAGTTGGTTTAACTTTACTTAATTGTATATGTTTTGTGATTTTTTTATTTCCTTTTTAAATACTAAAATCTGTGCTGGCAATATACTCTCCTGAACATAGGTGTGTTTGATGGCTGACCTATTTTAGATTATTTTTATTATTGTATTGAGTTTATATTCAACTCAGTGCAACAAGCCAGGCAGTGGAGATGCTCTCTGGCGTTCTGCTAGGGATAAAAACTATATGACAAAGCATCACTTAAAATACCAACCAATTAGGCATAATTAATTATGGTGGCATTATCAGGCACTGACATAATTATGATAATACATAGATCTAGTTAGGGGTCGTCCATAAATGACGTCACACTCGTAGTGGGGAGGGGGGTCCGTAATTTTGTAATGGTGTGTGATGAGGGGGAGGGGGGTTCAGATGGTGCGACGTCACATTTTTGCATTATAAAAAAGCAATGTTAGAAAACGAATTTTAGACGTTATTTCGTGTTTTAGAGAACTGTTTTAATAAATTGCAATAGGAATTGATTAAAATACTCTATTTTGACAGAGTTCAGACAAGATTTTGGAAAAAATATCAATGTTTTAAGAAAAATTCAACTGCAATTTTGAGGGGGGTTGTAGAGATGTGATGTCATTTAGGGGGGGGGGGGTCTGGCTTTTTGTGACGATGTGTGATGGAGGGGAGGGGGAGAGATAAAAATTGTCAAAAAAAAGCATGAAGTCATTTAATGTCATTTATGGATGACCCCTTACTATCACAAGTTTATTAGCCTACTAGTTATACATTATAATTATAATATATACATCTATAGTTGGCCTACATTTTAAGTTACAAACATAGATCTATAGGCCTAAGTGATAGTATATAAATATAATATACTTAAGTAGTATAAGTCATTAATAATATATAATTATTATAATATAATACTATAAAAAGTATAATGTATAATAACCTAGAATCTAGTAATACTAGATAGTATTTTCCTTGCTGTTTACTAGATCTACTACTACTAGATCTAGCTAGTGTTAAGTTTACAATGTACTGTAGATTAGTGTAGGTAGATTGTTCATGTAGATCTACTAACTACTAGATCTAGACATTCTAGTACTTGAACTTCAATGTACGAATGTAGAACACAAACGAATGTAGAACACAAACGCAGGCAGGTTTCACACTGACACTTGTGACTACTGAATTCAGAAGTCACAGATTTTGTAGTCAATTGTGTGTAGGCCTATAATTTATAAATATAGAATAATTAAGATAGTTGAAGAGCTCACGAATTTGTCTTTTTGGTTTGAAGGCCAACAGTTAATTTTTAGTCTTGTCTGTATCATGCAGATTTCTAATTCTCGATCTGGATTCTTAAAGTCAAGTTGCTTAATCGGTGACATATTTATTAAAATGTTGATTACTTCAAACGTACAACCAGAGTTACAGTTCCTGGTAGAGTTGTTGAGTTTAAATAATGGTATCGATACAAAATTGCTCACTATTTTTGGCTCAAAACATTGAAACACTCAGTTTGTTGAGAAAATAGCTTTTAGATTATGAATAAAGGGTTATTTTTAAAAAGACGTTGAAATGGTATAAGCTAGTTTAACAGGTAATTGGGCAATCGACATCGAAAGTTTGTTAATAGATCTAAATAGTACAACTGGTAGTCGGACTTGCATTCAAGTCAAAACAAAAATGGCGGCGCCCATGAACAATGCTACAACTCCGGTTAATTCGGGGTCTTACGACTTAAACGAATTGGGTATTCCTAAAAATCTCACTCCCAGTGATGTATCTAACTTTAATCTTATTATTGATCATGTAATTGGTAATAAAAAACGACCAAGAGCTGATGTCACCATTCCGATCGGAGGAATCCCTCAAATGCCCTTGTCACGCGAGGAACTTTTCATCCGTGGAATATTTGACAGCTGTGCTTTTAAATCCACTGCAAGTTGCGTTGTTGGTAAGATAAAAAAAAAAATTAAAAAAAAAAGAAACGTGTAAATTCATGGACCACATTGTGATAATGTAGAGTCTGGAGAATGTTTATACTGGATAATAATAAATAATGGAATTAATCTTCTTTAAAAAGGCAAGGGGTGTTACGGTGTTAGCACTGGTTAGTAGTGGTTAGGTTACTCACTGGTAGTTGAATTTACATAATTATTCTACTAACAACCCAACACTCCTTTTTTTAAAGAAGATTCCATTATCAGACACCGGTATCTAGGCCCTATCTAGTATCTATAATCAATAATCATATTATCATCCGTAGAGTCTAATATTATCTATCGTTTTAGGTACGTAAAATCGCCTGTGACTTGTAATGTGAAAAACAGGTGACTCCTTTAAATTTTAATAATTATTTCACATTTTGAGGAGAATTTGTGTTTTTTAAAATACAAAAATGTTTCCATGTTTTATTTATGTACATGTTTTTAAACAATTGAATTAAAACTTTTTCAGTAATAAATGAAGACTAGCGATGTTTCCAACAGATGCAACCATGCTCATTTACTATAGCAGCCATTTTGTTTAGGTTTTATTTTTATAAACTTATAGTGCTAGATTCAGGGGGAAGCCACTCTATTTTACAAATGGCTGCTGTTTATATAGCAAATCTTGCTTGCAGACACTGCTGTTAAAAGTTAATTTCTGGCCTATATTGATATATTTAGCCATTGATTTAGGTTTATTATTCATTTATCTATATTTGACACAAACATACCACAATACACTTCTATTAAAGTCTTGACAATGAGGTAATGTTTTCGTACATTAATAGCCGCGGGCGATTTTACATACCCAAAACGATAGATTACCAATATTACTAAAGCCCCCCCCCCCCCCCCGAAAATTTTTTACCGCCCCCCCCCGAACGAAATGAAATGTATATAATTTATATAGAAAATATATACTTTTAACAGTGTCCGCCCCCCCGAAGAAAGTTTACCGCCCCCCCGAAGATTTCAAATGCCCCCCCGGAGAAAAAAGTCTGGAAGAAACACTGTACTAGACTATAGCAGTCACTATAGAGATTTACTGATGATCTATTACTATATCTAGTAGTAGTAGATCTAGATTCTAGATCTTGAATCCAGTTTCAAACTTTTATTTGTTAGTATTAGTACTAGTAAGTGGGCCTACTATTACTTTGTGAATTTCACCTAGGCTACTGACTATGATTAATGTGACATTACCACACACAATCTCACACTCATCTATTCAACAATCCCCCTCCCATAAAATAACAAATATAAAAGCACCCCAAATTAGCCTACGTACTAATTAATTAACAGTTAGATATATAATATTTTATAGCTTAATAATAGATTACCAAAAAATTGTATGAATCTTTTTTTTAACAAAATTGTATTAAACAATTGTTATATTTTCTAGGGTTTGCATTGGGTGCAGCATTTGGTTTGTTTACCGCTGGCGTTGATCCAATGTCTACTATGTCTACTGAGACTCCAACAACTCGCATGGTGCTGAGAGAAATGAAAGCTCGATCCTTATCTTACGGCAAAAATTTTGCACTGGTTGGAGCAATGTTTGCTGGGACAGAGTGCCTGGTTGAGTCTGTATGTATTACATTCTTGAGCCAGAATATTGTTAAATCTTTAAGTGTCTTCTTGCTGGATCTGTCTTGTTCTGCCTGTAATGTTAACATTAAACATGTTTGTGTAATTGAATTTTTTTCAGTTCAAGTTTTATATTTAAATTAAAGGTTGAATGATGTGATTGAAACATGCTTTTTAAATGCATACGAACTGTAGTTTATGACTGGTGTATGAGTAGCCATCCTTTAAATAAAACTGTTAACTATCTATCTGATTTGAAAAAATATATTCATTTATTTTATATATGCGTTCATAATTCATAGAAGAATAGACTAGGATTGGAAAGAGCATGCTTTGTGTTTTAACTTTTTAAACTTTTGTATATTATACAGTACAGAGGAAAAACTGAACTTATCAATGGAACAGCCTCAGGAGCTATTGTTGGTGGTGTGCTTGGATTAAGAGGTATTTCAAATACAAATTGGTGTGAATTTCACTTTTTGTGACGTGAGGTCTTTTATTTATTTTATCCAAAGTAAAATTTTATTTAAAATGTATGTATCTATCGTATGTCTGTTATAGTTTATATATTTTGGTTACTTTCAGCTGGTCTGAAGGCAGGTATTTTTGGTGCTGTGGGGTTTGCAATATTTTCTACTGCCATCGACTACTATATGAGACATTTGTAACATTTTAAGATTTTAGTTTTATGAATTTAACATGTGATGTATATACAAAAAAGAGTTGTAGAAATCAAATGTAAAGACAGTGTAAATATTATTTAAAATTTGAACAATAAAAGAATCTACTATGTCTGTGTGTATTGGTGATTTTTTTTTCTGAAAAATAAAATGAGAGCTGTTTGTTTTCTTGCTGTAAAAATATCTTGTTGTGATTATGTTCTGTTTATTCATTAGGACTTCATGTAAAAACTCATAAAATAAATACATTTACACACATAGTGGTGTGTGGCTTAGAAAGTTGTGCATGTTGACCTAAGGAGCATGACAAAAATTAAACACAACTTTTGCAAATAAATCTTGTTCACAATTTTATTTCAACAAGCAACCTTGCACACATAACTTGAGCAAATTATTCTTATATACAAGATGTACTTCAGCAAACAATTTTTTTACACAGAACTGCATCAACAAATCTTTCTTCAGTAAATAATTTGTATACACAACATATTTCAACAAGCCATCTTGTACATAGAGTGACAACAAACATTTGTTGTAATAAAACTACTATATAATAATTATTGTACACAGCTTCAGCAAATAACTCAAGTACACATTTTATTTCAACACAATTCTTGTAAACATACTACTTCGAAAACCGCTTTCTTAAAGAACGTAGTCATTTCTAATTACTTCAAGTTGGTGGGATCCATTTTAGTTATGTGTACTTTTTTTTTTTTAACTTCAGTCTAGACCTACGGATAGATAACTGCTGCTGCATTACTTTTAACAATTTGAATGTGTAGCTGCCCTTTACACACAAAAAAGTGTAACAAAGGGACGTAACCTCCTTTACCCAGCTTGTGTCTGCCTAAACTAAATTGTCACTAGATCGAGTAAAATTGTCACATTGTTCACTATCAAGTTCACATTGTATTGTGAATGATATGCAGGGACATTTTTTTTTATTGCCATGTTCTGTATAGTTATCACTTTTTTTACTTTCTCGAATATACGAAGTATAGAGAAAGTACTGTAATCGTGCAAAAAAAAAAAAAAAAAAATCGAGATTTTTACAAATCTCGACGTTTTACACCTCACTGATACGGAAAAACATAATTTTGCAATCTTGTCCGTATGTCTGTCTGTGTGTGTGTAAACACGATTACTTGAGTACCGTTACAGCTATGTTGATGAAATTTCATATATAGGTATTTTATCAAAATCGTAGATCCGTATCAACTTTTGAGCGATTTCCGACAACCGGAAGTGGTACTTTTTCTACTTTGAATTTTTTAAAAGCATATAACTTGAGTACTATTTGAGATAGATAAATGAAATTTCACATGTAAGTAAAAGATCTAATTATCTACCTTCTTTCAAATTTTGAGTAATTTCCGATGACAGGAAGTACTAATTTACGCTATTTCCGATTTCTCAAAAAACGCATATAAATTTATAAAGAACTAATAATATTGCGCACTATTATGCGCTTTTTGCTTTGGCGTTCACTTGGTGCGCAATGTTTTTTTCTACTAGATTTTATTCTATTTTTAAAAGTTTAAGTAAACAAAAATCATGTCTATATTCCGAGTTGCCATCCCACGTAGTGTTATATTAGAATATTCGAGAAAGTTTAGGGGAGATAACTCCCGGTTTATCTACTCGTATGTTCGATGTCAGTGGTCATTCACATATGGCGTCTTGCTTTTTTTGACGATTTCTTTTACCTTCTCCCCTCCGCCAAACATCGTCACAAAAATCCAGCCCCCCCCCTCGTAAAATGACATCACACATCAGCCATACAACTGTACAACCCCCTTCCCTAAAAAAAATATTTAAACATCAGTTTCTTTCTCAAATATTGACCAAACTCGGTTAACATCGAGTTATTTGAATCAATTTCTTCTATATTATAATTTACAACAACAGTCTTTTTAAAAACTGCGAAATAACGGCTAAAATTCAGTTTCTAGCATTACTTTTAAAAAGTGTGACGTCAAACTCTCTGAACCCTCTTCCCCTCATTCCACATAGTCACAACATTTCGAACCCTCACCCTAGAAGTGTGACGTCATTTATGGACGACTCCCTTAGACGATTTTCTATCTCCCCTCCAAATCGTCACAAAAACGACGGCACACTATCTTAACCCTTCCCCTCTCTTTAACCGTGTTTGAAACGACACTATACTCAGCAATAGCCAACTACAGGGAGAGAATTCTCTTCTTTGTTCAATCAATCTCTCTATTGCTGAAGACCAGATAGCTGATCAATGGCTTACACAAACCGGAAACAGAAATCAAAAATCCGACATGCAAACCATTTCGATACAACGCACACGATCTTTTTCCTGATTGATTAAAACTCCAAAAAAAATCAGAATACAGTTTGTGTAATCGATTCCGAATATGGAGTTAATTACGATACGTTCAGTATCAATGTTTTTGTAAATAGACAACAAAAAGGTCCATATTTACTTTACACGCGGGAGCAGGGGAGAGTGTAGCGCCATGGAACCACAACCACGTTACTAGCAGAGAACCAAAGGCACGTACATAGGAGGGAACCAGAGGTTCTCATTACTTACAGATACACATCAACAGCAGAGATACTAGAGACCATAAGACTTACATCACTAGTAGGGACTTACAAAGGCCCCCTTATCGAAAAAACTTAGAGCCTCATTACGTGTAAATCCGGTCCTGGTTTGAATGATGTGTATGACTGAGAACGCTATGCATGCAGTGTTTCTTCCAGACTTTTTTCTTCGGGGGGGGGGGGGCACTTGACATATTTTTTGGGGGGGGGGGGCGGTAGACTTTCTTCGGAGGGGGGGGCGGACACTGTTAAAAGTATATATTTTCTATGTAAATTTCGTTCGGGGGGGGTAGACTTTCTTCGGGGGGCGAAGCCCCCCCCCCCCTGAAGAGATGCCTGAAAGAAACTCTGTATGCATGACTGGAAGTGATAGCCATGACTTGGAAAGTTATACACGGCTTGTAAAGATATGCATGACTTGGAAAGTGATACACGACTTGGAGAGCTACGCATGACTTAACCAAACCCAAAGTTCCATTTGACGCATGTCCGCCTGGTTCCACTTGGATGGTAAAACGGTTGAAGACATTCTTCGCATTCACACACCGCACGGCCGACATTGGGCCTAAGAGTCGGCCGGTAAAAAGAAAGTGGAAAGAAAAAAATCTTAGATCCAACTGATGGATGTTTTCCGTCCGTACGAGAGAGTGGTAGGACCTGTCAATCTAGACACTCTTGTTTATCTGAACTTCCGTGGGCCATAGTTTGGTATGGTATCCGTGACTCAGCGACTAACTGGCCGTATATTTTACTATAACATTCGTGACTGTTAATACATTTTATTATAACATTCGTGACTGTAAATACATTTTAAGATAACATTCCTGACTGTAAATACATTTTTGTAAAACATTCGTGACTGCTCTTACATTTTGCTATAACAATCATGACTGCTAGTCTTTCTTTCAGACTTTTTTCTCCGAGGGGGGGGGGGAGCACTTGATATTTGGGGGGGGGGTGGACTAAATTTCCCGGGGCGGGGTGGGGCAGACACTGGTAAAAGTACGTTTTCTATATGTAACTGGGGTAGGCCTAACTACCAGTTACAAATGATAACGAACGAGAAGCCGAGACACAGTGTTGGTCTGATGCAACCGATAACAGGTGGTTTATTGGGTCGGGCTGATAACAACCTCAAAGCCGGCGCGTGCTATTTTGGGAAACGGTATTCAGACGGCCTGTCAACTTTGATGGATAGGACGCAGATGTTATTTTACGGTCTGTACGTTTGAACTACGCAACTGGTGGTCGGAGATCGAGTACAAGTATCGATTACGGAGGAATACAAGTACAGAGACGAGTACGGATACAAGGGATAAATAGGAGGGCACGGCAGGACTCGTTCTCTCTCTTCCCGTTTCAGCGAGCTCTCTTCCATCTTCATCGCTCGCTTAGATCAGTCAGTCTGTGTGACTATGTCAAGTCGGTTATAGAACGGGTTAGCCGTATTGTGTTAAGGAGGATTATAGACATGTGGATTCAGTTATATAAAGCCTAGTGAAGGACTGTTAGGGGTCAGTTGATTCAGACTATTATTGAGAAGCATTCCTGTTGATTTATTGTGTTATTATGAAGCATTTCTTGATTCATGTAATAAAGGATCAATAGCGAACCTGCATCTTGAGTATCTATACTGTGGTCAATGTTGTCTAGAATGAGTGGTTAAACTCGTTAACACGTGGCACTACAGGCAATTAGGTCTCATTACATGTGGCGTTGCGAGCATGGTAACTGTTGGCTCGTTACAATTGGCGTTGTCGGCAGGATAAATGTTCGCTCGTCACAATTGGCGCTGCGAGCAGGGTCACATTTGGCTCTGCGAGTAGCCTAGGTCACATTTGGCGTCGTCGGACAGGATGAATTCAACTAGACTTGCCGTTTAAGGCACCTATAGTCAACCTTGTGCATAACTGTGTTTAGTGTGTGTGTGAATTCGGACATTCAGGAACTGTGAAAATTGAGGAACGAGGAAAAATTTTTCATACACACACGGTAAGAAAGAACTCTCTTTTTTTAGTACTTAAGGAAGAAAATGTCTACTCTGGACGAGAAGCAGACCCATATAGTGGTCCTACCCAGAGAGTCCCATATTAACAAATTTTACGGGGACGGAGACCCAACTTTAACCAACAGGTTCAGTGAAGAGGTCAAAGCGGCCTGGGCCTCGAGACATATGTCACCAGAGGAAAGATTAAGACTGCTGATGGGCAGTATAGGTGAAACGGTTAGGGCAGAGGTTAAGTGCCACGATAGGACCGTCCAATCAGATCCAGATAAGGTGCTGGATCTGATTATGGAGACCTTTGGGGAGAGACGGTCGGGAGTGCAACTGCTATCGGGATTCGTGGGCTTAAAGCAGAGAATGGCGGAGAGTGTGATGGAGTACTCACACAGGATGAACAGGGCCTTTGATTTGGTAAAGGGCAAATCACCGGACATTGATGTACGCCTACTGAGGGACCATTTCATCGAGGGGCTAGCAACCCCGATCTTAAGGAGAGAGTTGAAAGAGGAGGTCCACAGAGACCAGCAGT